TCTTATATTACATGATTTATGCCTATTGATAAATTATTTTGTGGCAATGAATATTTGCACTAGGCCTTGTTAGGAAGGTCAACCTCTTTTATATATTATATATATTAATATGGTTTTCCATCACTGCAGAGCCATTTTGATTCCCCTGAGTCTTGTTTGTGGTTGATAAGGGGGCATATGTAAGGGTTAACAATATATTGTTAACTTGCAATCAGCTACATGACAGTGCATGTCAGGTGATGTTGTGGAATAACGCCGATGACCCCAACACTGGTGACACACATACATAAATCTTAGGCTTACAGCTCCATCGCCTGGACAATAGGAGTATGACACATGGATCATTCATGATAAGAGATTTTCTTACTTTCCAGTGCGTCCGTCCCAGATTTTAATGGACTTGTCGAATGAGGCGGAGGCAAGAAGCCTGGTGTCTGGAGAGAAGAGCACTTCGTTGACCAGAGCGCTGTGGCCAGTCATCCTGGCCAGAGGCTTCTTGTCTTCTGCAGGGTTCCACAGGAACAGGGTGAAATCATCGGAGCCAGACACCAAGCGCTCTGGAGCTGAGCCCTGCAGCGTGACAAAAGGAGTGAGGGCACTGATATGAGGGACATACAGACTTGAACACATCAGAGTAGACAACAAACAGTGCTTACCCTAACTTTATTATATCTCTGCAAAGCTTTCTCCTTCAGCTCTTCCACTGGGGGGAAGAAAAATGCTTGTTAGATGAAACATCTTCACCAGAAAGCCTCTTCTTCAGCGAGTAGCAAATGCTCCCACTCGCACTGTACCCCAAAAGAAAGTAACATGATCCTTACATGGTCCAGAGAGGTCCTGGGGATTGATAGTGGCAGTTGCAGGTTCAAAAGCTCCAGTGCGCAGGACGTAGTCTGTGCTGAGAGCCAGGGTGTTCACCCAGTGGGCGTGACCCTGCAGAGTCCTGCACTGGACACCCTTTATCCACAAAGGGAAGTAAATACACATTAAGTCTTGCTCTTACACACAGATGTCTCTTCACTCTCATTACACTCCTTCTGTCCATGCCAGCAACATTTAAAGAAGCGTCACACACACTTACATCTTTGGCCCTCCAGACTTTGACTGTTCTGTCCTGTGAGGAAGTGTAAAGAAGTCCATCTCCACCCCACTTCACACAGGTGACTGACTGAGTGTGTCCTGTCAGGATCTTCTCACAGCGTCCCAACACAGTGTCCCAGATGCGTATAGAGCCGTCCTTAGAGCTACTGGCTAAGTTCCGACACTCTGGGTTACTGAAAGGGAGAGGGAGAGGTGGATCAGAACAGGCACGTGCTACAGCAGGGCTAGGGGGTGCTATAGCCAGGTCACAATCTCTTTTTCTGGAAAAAACAAAACAAAACATATTCCTGTCCATAGTCTAAGACAATATCCACTACAGCACAGGTGAAACATTCACATTTTTAAAAGTTAAATCATGAATAATTAGTTAGCACACAAAAGCTACAACTTATCAGCATGCCAGTGCAGGTTCTTTGGTTACTGTAACTCCGGTTTATCGCCTGTTGCAAGGTGTTATAACATTATACAATGATTATATATAACATTAACAATGACTCCTTTCTACTGGAGTGTCACAGTAAGTCATAACAGTGAGCCAGCATGCACAAGACCAGGACCCTGAAATTCAAGCCATTTTCTTGAAAATGGCCTAGAGTTGTTGTAATTTTACAATTTCATGAGTAAAATATATATTAGTGCAGAAGCTGCAACTGAATGGGATTTCAGGTCAGCAGTAAAATAGGCAGAAATGTATAGAAATGCAAAAGTGATGAATTGGGTGCTCACAGATGGAGAGGTTCCCAGCTGAGCCAAGTGATCCATTTGGTGTGTCCGGTCAAAGTCTTTCCCATCTGTGAACCTGTCACTGGATCCCACAGACAGATCTACAGAAAGAGCACCACAAAAATAAATACATTATGCTCATAGGATACATCTTAAAACTATCACATTGTATGTGTGTTAGAAGTTCACCTGGCTGTTCTTGCACCCTGAAGCCAGCTTCTTGCCATCAGGTGACCAGGCGATGCTCAGTACCCAATGTGTGTGTCCTTCAATAAAGCAGAATACAGTTCAGTTGTGTCTATGACCATTAATCAAACATTTATATCATAATGTATAGGACACTGCCTTGGAGAAGGGATCTTATACCTCTGGCAGTATGATGGGGCGTTTCAGTCATCAAGTCCCAAAAGCGCACTGTGGTGTCACCTGAACCGCTGGCCAGATATCTGAAACAAGCAAGGACAACTGATTAACAGCATGTTTAAGTCTTCAGAACATAATTTTTAGTTTCATCCCTCCTCTAGATGTTGTTATATCAAGAGCCCTGTTGGATAAATGAGAGTACACAAAAGCATGACAAGCAGCAGCTGTTCATTCTGCATCGGAGTTACTCACTTGCCGGTGGGGCTGAAAGCAGTTGAGATGACAGCTTCTGTGTGCCCCTGTAGTGTGCTGGTACAGCGGGCCACGGCTCGAACCCTGAACACAGCCTGAGGCTGGTACACCACTGGCAGAACTTGCTCAGTTTCGACGCCAAGAGCCTGCACACACGACCCCAGACTGGACACCACCTCAGCCTCTCCACGCACAAAAAATGCCAGTGGCACCGGCTCCTCCTACAGTGAGTAACAGCACAGAAACAAGACGTTCACTGGATTTCAAATTTCAACTTTATATAACTTATATAACTAAGTGACGGGTCAAAATAGAAATCAGTGATTGGCCTGTGAGGTCTTTGAGTGATGATGGTGTTTGTGGAATATTTAAGTGTTTGCAAATTCAGTAATAATGAAATCTGTATGTAGTTTCTATTTTGGTGTTACAGTGGGTGATACTGCCATTGCAACATACACTGTATATACATAGTTATACATCTGGCACTGAATGCTAAACCCCACTCTCTGATGCACTGAGACACGTAGCTAAATATATATAAGTGAAATGTTTGCATGTGCAGATTAATCACAATTTCCTACATCCATGTTATTTAATGGCAGCTGGTTACCTTCTGAAGCAGTGCATTGCAGACCAGCTGTAGTTTGTCTGGGGTGATGTCTAGAGGCACATCAAAAGGTGAACCCAGAACCTCTCCTTCTTCATCCTGGAACTGGATCAGCAGCCGCTCCACGTCCCCACTCGTCATCCTCAGATTTGGATCTAAACCTATAAACAGTAAGTTGTCTTTACATTTCTGGAAGTGGAATCAAACTTCTTATACTTATACTTATATATAAGTGCACACTGTAAATAAATAAACGCCTACAGGCAACTGCCAATAATGTTTAGTTTCGTCTTAATGTTTGGAGACCTCTGAATGACAGTTCCCAGCTGTAAAATATAAAACTTACTTCTGCAGAACAAATCCAGTCCTTCATAAGACAGTAAAGATGGATACATTATGTTTGACATGTTGGGGTTCAGGGATTATTTAGAGCCCAAACCATGACGTTGTATCTGCATGAAAGTTGATTTTGCAGAATTAAGCAGTTCTTCCTTTTGAGTGAAAATAGTTCACTTTGAGATGTTGTCAATTCTCGTTCTGTCATGAAGGCAACATTATAGCAGCTAACGTTAGCTGAACTACCTGACAGGATATCCATTACGTTAACTCAATAATATTATCATAGAAAACAAAACTAGGAGTAACACACTGTAGGACCATGATTAGTATTGTTATTCTATAGATCTGGGCCCATATTACCACCTGAAATCAACTGTTTAGCGGTTTATTTTTAGCTAGCCCATGTCAACCGTAGCTATCAACGAGTAAAGCTAGCTCAGCTAGCCTGCTGTTAGCTAACAGTCTGGACACCTAATTCCTCTAAGCAGCGATCACAGGTCAGTAAGATACTTGTCACTTGCTCTCACAGTTTTGTCTACTTTTATATGACATTAAATCGGCACGTACATGTATTTTAACATTACCTTTAGCGAGGTAGCGATGTGTTCAAACTCCCCACGTGTATAACACCAAAGAGCCTTTAAAGAGAAGATCCTCCAAGAAGCCGGTGTTGCCATGCCAATGAACGGACTCGCGCAAGGAATTGTGGGAAAGTAATGTGCGGAAGAACCGTCGTCAGTTGTTGCCTTTGCTGGTTTGCCGTACTGCTTTACTCATCTTCACTCTTATTATGTTTCTGTAAGTCCTCTGCTGACGTCACCCTTAGACAATAATAATAAAAAAAAATTGAATTTCCCCTCAGGGGGATTAATAAAGTATATAAAATTAAAACGATTGAATTAATAAAAAAAATTGAATAATAATAATAATAATAATAATAATAATAATAATAATAATAATAATGATAATAATAATGATAATAGTTATAAGGAATTTGAGATAATAATAATACATTTGAGATAAACAGCATAAAAATACTATATATTAAATTACATTTATATTAAATAATACAGCATATTAAAAAAAAAACAATTATATAGATAGATAATTTTACATTAAGCTTCCTTTGACTTTTACACATTTTTATATTCTATAACACATGCACACCTTCATCACTATCAAAATAGGACCATTACATCATGCCTTTCTATCACTTAAAATATGAAACTGACATATTTTGGCTGCCCCTTAAAAGTATTAGCTTTTCCAAGTGAAACAGCATAGATGCCGATCCATGACTTGTTGTGGTGTGTTGGCTCCAACTCACAAGTACCCACACGACCCTGATCTGTATCTTAAATATTTTGAATATAATCTACCCCTGGAATGAGTGTAGACATACAAGCTGAAAGAGAAATTGAACAAAGCCTTTCTTAAATTAGAGGCTAGTAACCACGTCCCAAAATCACTGTAGTGTTTATTGTAGGATATGTCATAGTGTGATATTGTAGTATACTAGTACTTGCTAGAAATTTGACTCTGTGTGGTGTTGCTGCAAAATAAAATGTTAAGCTATCTGTTACAGACCTGTAATCAGTCAATCAAAAAGACACAGTTTCATTGTAACACTTTTTATTCTTTGACAACATTCATCTTTTTTGCATTGGAATAGAAAAGGCAGCCTGTATCTTACTATTATGAGAAACTACATTTAAGAAGTTTAGAGAAATAATTAATTGAAAATATAATTTTGTCATGATTCTGTCCACTGCTTTAGAGTCTGTCATAATACACATTAGACTTAAATGATCTCAGATACTTTACACATATTTGTTATAAAGCAATATATGACTCAAAACACCTCATTGTAGAAGTTCTCATCACCAGCTAACATTATATGTTCTTAGAGGAACTCATGCGTACATTAGATTTTTAAATCTTTCTCCCATCTTCATCATTTCAGCCTCAGATACTTGGGTCCAGTAATCCAGAATTGACTTCATCAACATAGAATTTTCTATACAACAGTTTGATTGGCAGATCTTTCTTACACTTGCTGTACAACCCTCTGAACTGGAACTCATGTATAGACCCAACCAAAACACAAACATGTATTTTCAAATACAATTTGACCGAGGGCTGTGTTGACCTGCAGTGTATGACCAAACAAAACTTAACTCACTCTTTCTTTTTTGTTTTTTTTTGCTCTAACAGGCAAAATAGGCCTGTGGACAAGCTGAAAGGCGTCTCATTACAGCGATAAACCTTTTGTGTAGAGAAACTGTTCCACCAAGAGTGAATCTGTTTCCAAAGCTGAAAACAACAAACTGAAGTTTCCAGTCCATGTGATAGTGCAGTGTGGTGGTCATTAGTTAATGAGTAAATTAGCTGATCCAGCAGATGATGGAGTCAATCTTATGGGGCATTTGACAGACTGAATCAATTCAGTGTAAATTTCCGGGGGAGAGGAATAAGATGTGGCACTGCAGTGAATTTGTTCTTATTAGTTGAGTCCATTGATGTTCTCAGGAACAAGACCTTCCATGACGGCACGCTTTGACTCCAGGATCTGCAAGACCAAAGTAAAGATGAGATTATTAAACTGAACAGCCCAATGCCACACACATTTACTACTGAAAATATACCTGCAGTGGCCACCTAAGTTTACATCTGTACAATCCATTGCAATGCTATGGAAGCCCATTTCTACCGGTGTAATAAAAAAAGGAAAGATCCTGTAAGTCATTATATTGAGAAATTTTCTCAACATTTTGACTCAGTATCCCAAAATAACGACTTAGTGAAGACAAAGTGAATAATGACTTAGTGTCTCAAAATATTGAATTAGCATCTAAAATAATGACTTAGTATCCCAAAATAATGACTTAATGTCTCAAAATAATTACTTAGTATCTAAAAAAAATCACTTAGTATCCCAAAATAATGACTTAGTATCTCAAAATAATGACTTAGTATTTCAAAATAATGACTTGGTATCCCAAAATAATGACTTAGTGTCTCAAAATAATGACTGAGTATTTCAAAATAATGACTTGGTATCCCAAAATAACGACTTAATGTCTCAAAATAATGACTTAGTATCTAAAAAAATCACTTAGTATCCCAAAATAATGACTTAGTATCTCAAAATAATGACTTAGTATTTCAAAAATAATGACTTGGAGTCCCAAAATAATGACTTGGTATCCCAAAATAATGACTTGGTATCCCAAAATAATGACTTAATGTCTCAAAATAATGACTTAGTACCTAAAAAAATCACTTAGTATCCCAAAATAATGACTTAGTATCTCAAAATAATGACTTAGTATTTCAAAATAATGACTTGGTGTCCCAAAATAATGACTTGGTATCCCAAAATAATGACTGAGTATTTCAAAATAATGACTTGGTGTCCCAAAATAATGACTTGGTATCCCAAAATAATGACTTAGTATCTGAAAATAATGACTGAGTATTTCAAAAATAATTACTTAGTATCTAAAAAATAATGACTTGGTATCTTAAAAAAAATGACTTAGTATCTCAAAATAATGACTTAGTATCTAAAAAGTAATGACTTAGCATCTCAAAAATAATGATTAAGTATCCCATAATAATGACAAAGTATCTTAAAATAATGACTAAGTATCTAAAATGATTTAGTATCCCAAAAAAATGACTTAGTATCTCAAAATAATGACTTAGTATCTAAAAAGTAATGACTTAGCATCTCAAAAATAATGATTAAGTATCCCATAATAATGACAAAGTATCTTAAAATAATGACTAAGTATCTAAAATGATTTAGTATCCCAAAATAATGACTTAGTATCTCAAAATAGGATTTTTGTTTTCAAAATAATGTATTTATATCCCAAAGTCCTGAAAAACTTTCTCAAAATAATGACTTAATATCTCAAAATAATAGGAAAAGATACTATGTCATTACTTTAAGAATGTTCAGTTATATGGTCAGAAATGTGCCTTACTTTTGGAGGTGTTGCAAATTTTTTTGACCTCCCACATGCACAAAACAGTTAGGATGAGAATTTACTTCTCTAGTTGTTGGTGTTTTTTTTTTAGTAACAATTACTCACAGAAATGTTGTACTTTGTTTGGCATCACAGATTTCAGTGCCAGTCAATCCTTTTTTTTTTTAATTTATGGCAATACAAACAGTAGTGGATGATCATAACCATAGTCTGAGGTGTCATTGGGCAGAGATGATACAAAAATCTTCTGAGTAAACAAATCATGATAGAAGGCATTTACATACAATAAAGAATAAAGTTGTGATAGTGGTAAGCTCACCTGGAAGCTAGCACTGAGTCCGATGATGCTTTGCATGTTTGTACTGAAGTAGCCCAAAACATATTGTCCGCCCAGCAGAGGGATCTCGTCCTTATCCACAGATATCTGCAACCCAAACACACACACACACATCAAGCAAACAGTCACATAGTATTCAGCCAATCATGATATAAACATCCCACTCGCACTTTACCTGTATGACTTCATTTATCTCTGGCAACTCGTCCTCTCTGACCCAAACAAAGGTTTCATAATCAGACGCACTCTTGAATCCCACCTGCAGGAGAACAACCCCAAGAGTTTAAAAGTTTCTTGTATAACAATGTTTGTTTTCCCTCCTTGTCTGTCGCAGTACCTTATACAGGCCGATCCAGTCCCATGTGGAGGACATGAAGTCCTCTTGGACGGTGTAGTTAAGAAGTGCGTCATGGTCGGCGCTCCATACACCCAGAGGAGATACATGCACCAGTGGTGTGTCAAAGCACTTCCTCAGCTGTGGGAAAGACAGGAAGAAAGAGAAGGAGCTACGTAATGCAGAAAAAATATGCATCAGCAGAAGTAGATTTATATGTACTGATGAACAGTCCTAGAACTTTACAGTGACCCTGTTCTCACCTCCAGACTGAAGGTTGCAATCACAGGCTTGTGGTCACTGACTCCGTAGCTCATATCACTGGTGTACTTGTCCTGAGTGACCAGGAGTGGGTACTCATCGAGCCCATCATCAGTAGACGTTGATGCCTTCTCATCATCATCATCATCATCCTCTGATGGCGGGGCTTTGGGTTTGATGCGCCAGAGAATCCGGTCAGTCCAGGCAGGTTTCCTCTTCTTGCCACTGAGCAAAGCAAAGACAAGTATTGATCACACAGTTTCCTATTTGGGAATGAGTTGAATTCTCTGTTTCTAAACGCTTACCAGATATGTCACATTCCCTTTTGTGTCAACCTGACTAACGATGCTCATAATAATCATACAGACATGTTAGAGACAATGCTGTTAAAGAACACATCCCCAACTGACATGGGATTACAGCTTATGTATATGCACATAAAGCCATGCATACATTATGCCAGAACAAAGGGGGGGGGGGGGGTGCTGGGTGCAGGAGGAGGTTATCTCAGCTGTAATTAATTTGCAGAGCATGTCTGAAATTCATCAAGGTTATTATGTTTACTAAACCTCTTTGGGTCTTGTCATTTATATCAGTGTCTCCAGTGATTTTGTGATTGTCTTAAATCTTCATGGAGCCTATTCTGTAATATGGGGCCCACTCTTATTCCTCTTATATCTGTGGAGACACCCACCTTGGCGGGTCTAGCTCCCTGTACCAGGCCCCCAGCCACACAGAGAGCAGCCCCCAGGTGAGGGAGGTGAGGAGGAAGAAGAGCGTGGTGCTGCAGCGCTGCAGGGGCCTGGGTCTGTACATGGTTAGGGGCAGTGCCAAAGTGCTCTTTCTGAGAGAGACACATACATGGTGCTAGTGTCAGGGATGGGTATGACTCACAAGAGGAGCTGCTCCCAGTGTTATTTACACATTACTGCTGTGGATTCCTGTTTGGTGTCTCAGGGGTTACATGTGTCGTGTCAGCTTAAGATGTGGTGGCAAAAGCTTCGAGGGAAAGGACAGATGATGCAGTGGCTAAGAAATAAGGGAATGTGGGGCATGCAACACAAAAAACTTAGAGAGCATCTTACTTAAAACCCAACCATGTCTTCGGGGTGCTGTACAAAATTCAAACGGAAACAAGAGCCCAGATGAAACTGAAGAAATGTGTTGCGTATTTGTGTGTGATATATTTGTTTGTGGCACATGTTACCTGGTGTCATAGGTGTCAGAGTTACGGTCGAACTTGTAGGTGGGCTTAAAATTTAACGGCCCTTCCTCAAATTCCTGCAGGAAAGGCTCCTTCTTCTTCATCATAGTGAGCTGCAGGGACATTAAATAAATTAGTGAGTGTGTGATACTGTGTGTGTGTGTGCATGTGGGCATATTCTGGTATATTACCTGGTCCTTGCCCCACAGTAAATTAAGGCGTCCGCTGTTGATGGACGAGCGCAGGAAGTGCAAGCCATGGTCTGCAATACGGAAGTTCAGGTCGCCAAACCAGAACACCACCCTGTGTGAGAGGGACGGAGCATTATTTTACCTGCTATACAATAATCCTCAGTGCTGTGTGTGTGTGTGTGTGTGTGTGTGTGTGCACCTCTCTGTACAGTAGGTGTACTGACTTGTGATCCCGGACTTGTGGGGTGTCAGTGATGTCAAAGTCTTGTGTCTCCAGGATGTACTCAATCTCATCAACGCGCTGCAGGGCGTAGTTCACGTGGGCTGCTAGGTGGCAGTTCAGGAAGCAAACCATGTGGCCATAAAAGGAAAAACGCACGGAGACTCCTCCTTTATTTCCCTGAGATAACAGAGGGAGGAATACGTCATATTTTTATCTTTTAGAAATAATGAATGCAGACTATACATAGCAAAAATACATTCATTTTACTGCAGTATTTATTAGAAAATGAAATATACTGTGGTTAAAACTCTTCCACTGTGGGAGTAATGTCTTTCAGGGGCTGAATTTTAAAGCTAGAGCGAAGATGCTGGTATCATATAAAAACAAAAGATCTAAGGAATCCATTGTACTAACCACGTCATAGCTTTTTGGGAAGGGATTTAAATAACGCTTCAAAGTTAGGCTAAATTTTAGTGAGGGCAAAACTGGCATGGCCATTTTCACAGGGGTCCTTTGACCTCTCACCTCAAGATATCTGAATGAAAATGGGTTCTATGGGTACCCATAAGTCTCCTCTTTACAGACATGCCCACTTAATTACCTATTGTGACCTCTCGTGTAATCACAGCCTCATGAAACTTTGCAGCCACAAACAAGAGACCCACAGCATTCAGAAAATGTATGGAAAAGGTAAACTGACAATAAGGGAGTTTCTCAGCAGTTTCCAGAAGAGAAATGCTCACCATCCAGTCGTTGAAAAATGCAATCCTTAGAGAAATGTTTAATCTCTATGATGTTCCTCAAGGTTTCTGAATGTAGTATTTTGGGGGGATTTTTGACCATTTCTATCAATTATTGAGTGATTACAAATGCTTAAATTAAGCACCAAATCTGTCTAACAAATAGTATCAACTCCAAAATTGCTGCAACAACTTTGAAACATACTGTGCGTTCCAAAACCCATACTACCGTACTATATGCCAGAAAAAGATTTAGTATGTCCCAATACATAGTATGTCAGATGCAATATGCCAAAAATACCAGGATGTTCAACTACATCCGGTCCGACTTTGCAGTCTGCAAGCCAGCATGTTTCTCTTGCTATTCTGACCCAGAATCCTCTGCACAGCATATGATACGTCACATTGACTGAGCCACAAACAGATGACAGCTTGACGGGTGATTGACAGCTGTCAGAAGTGGCAATGACAGATGACAGCACACTCAAGTAACTGATGACCAGTCCAATGGTAATAATAGGAATATTGATTATTTACAAAATAATCATAAATATTGCAAACAACAAAAGGACATAGCTATGAAAATGACAATGACAGAGAACTGCAGATGTAAATTCACTGTCACAAATATAATATGTTAGATTCTACAATCTGTGTAAAAGTTAAACCACATACATCACAAAGTAACAGCAGCAGAGCTCTTTGGGTTGATCTTATCTCTGGTGAGCTCTGTAAGTGGCATTTGTTTAATGTCCAAGGTAACGGATATATAAGCAACAGGGTCAAAGTTCAGGGTGTAATATTACGAGACAGGAGTATGTCCAGATTGTGTGCACGCTGCATGCAACAGTACATACTTTTAAAAGCAGCTGCAAAGTAAAAAGTATGTGATTCGGTACGCGCACATCATTCAGCACGTGAATGGCCGTCATATACTTTCATCATAATGTTTTACTCCCTTATACACTAATCAGTAAAATGTGAGTAGGTGCCTGACAAAAACACCCCTTTGTTTTACTTTGGATTAAAAAAAGTTTGGCCTTTATCCAGTCAGATGGTATTTTTCCTTGAACTCGGATGAGATTATTTGTCTTGCAAGTGTTTGCCCCGGTGTACCGCACCAGTGTTTGTGTTCTTTGCTCGTCAAAGCTGCGGCACATTCCACTAAACAAACACAAAAGGCCTTTCATAATGTGTTTAAACTCCACAGCATTTGATGCCAACGGGATTCCTGGTGTGCAGAGTTTAACCGTCCGTGTTGTTGTCTGTAAGGTTCAGGGCTGACCAGCACTCCCATTGTGATGACCTACCCAGTAGCCAAAGATGCCAGTACGAGTGTAGGTGGTTTGGATGTTTCTGATGTAGGGGAGATGGATTTGTTTGGCAAAAACCAGCAGCAGCAAACCCTGCATCCTGATTGATTTGACCTAGACAGAGATGGAGGCAGATTTTATTAATCATTTTAAAATGTAATTTTTCAGTATTTTTAGAATACTTTCCTTTATTTCTACTTTAAAGTCTCAAACTGTAAGTTACACAATGTCAAAAAGAAATAAAGTATTTAAGGATTTTTATGCGGCCCCTTAACTTTTCGGAGACATACAGTAACCTTTAAGGCACTGTTTTTCCTTTACACACACATGGAAATTCACAGCACTCAAACGCCCTCTATCCTATCCCACCTTAACAAAGCCTCTGGGTGCCAGTGTGTCCATAAAGACGTGGCTCCAGGAGTCCTCCGCTAACAGGTCAGAGATGAACCTTATAGGGGTGGCATTCACCTCCTGCAAGCTGACACACACCAACACAAACATTTTTTTAAAAAAAGCTTGTTGTTTTGTTTAATCTTTTTTTTTTTCTTTTCTTACCAAAGCAGTAGAAGAGACACTTTTATCCATCACTCCCATTAAGAGTTAAATTGTTATTTCTCACCCAATCACATAGAGGTCTGTGGGGGGCTGGACGTCTAGCTGCAGCAAAGAGGTGACGTCCTCGGGAGGCTCAGCTGTGGCCACATTCCAGGTCACCATGTGCAGCCTGTCAGTATTTGATGATGACAATAATTGACTGAGGTGATGGGAGAAGAGAAAATACTGACAAATATATGTTGCAATACTACATTTTCCTTGTTGTAAATAGAGTACTGAAGAAATGAGTTCTCAAAAAGCTGAAAAGAGTTAGCATGTTAGCACACATGGTTCTCGTCTTAACGTTAATGGGTTTTTTAATGGGTTTTGTTTAGATGGCTGAAATAAGTAAATACCCCACTCGTGAATACTGAAGCTTTTACACACCTTAAAAAATGCAGTTGCCAACAAGTGGCTAAAACTGATATGTCATCACGTCGAACACGGCTTGACAGCCTCGTTATGGTGGCGAGGTTTAAGTCATGCAACCATAGTGTAGTTTGTTTATAGCCTAACGTGAGCTTTTTACTTCTGGTGATTGCATTTACGCTTCAAAAATCACTAAGTGGTGTTCAGTTGTGATATCTTGCTGAACAAAATGTGAAAATCCAATGGAAAAACCCAATTGTTTTTTTGTTGAGGGAACTAGGGCGATGCTAACTTCTGTGCTGGCAAAAGACATCATCCCTGGAGCACTCTAAACACTAGTGTAATTGATAGAGTTATTGACTTCCATTATTGGTGGTGTGCAAATTTAATACTACAAATACTTATACTGGAAAACAAACCGTTTCATTCCTAGCCAGTATTAAGTTCTACTTTCATTCCAATTTCATTTCATTCCCTGTTTGTTAGTGCCCTTGGACAATGGAAAGCTAAAGTAAAAATAGCCGAAATAAAGAGGAACATTAATAATAACATAACATTAATATCATATTTACTTTTGAGTGTTTACATTTCTTTAATCTTAAATTAGAAACCAATAAATTCAAACACTTCCTGCTTTCGTATCTGCAAAACTTGCACATGTACATGTCGACCTGAATGCGTCTGTGGGAATGAAACGCCCGCAGAGATGAAACGCTTCGTCCAGCGAGCGGGACACTTCCTCACTGGCTTCATCGTCAGAGCTCATGTCCTCTATGCAGGTCATCAGCTGAGACAAACGTTGGCGAAGAAGCACCTTGGTCCTTGAGCCCTGAGACGCTGAGCTGCTCATGCTGTCCGAGCGCACACGTGGACTGTCTGTAAAGGGGTCCATCTTTGGTACCTGGTGTTGGCTTTGTTACCTGTATGTCCGAAAGGTCAGGAAGGTTATTTACTCAAATAGAAAATTAAGGTGCCGTCCTTCTGGGGCAAACAAGAGAAAACCAGTGGAGAAAATTCCCTTGGCTTGTTTTCTCTCAGACTTCTTTAGTTGGTTTGGTTGCATCCATTTGATGTGGCCAACTCTGCTCAGGCCACTGGAAGTAACGTGAACAGATTCCTTGTTAGTCAAATCTCTCTTCAGGCAGCTTGTGATTTAACTCCTCCAAACTGGCCAGGATGAAAAGCTCGAAAGCCCAGGGTGACGTTTGTCTGGACTGGTGCAACCCTCTCTCTGGTAGAGTCCCGTGTGATCAAGCAGCGATGGAGCAACGACTGACAAAGCAGTGGGGTCGACTCAGGAATGTGGGCAAGAGTGAGTCAGATTTGGACGTTAATCGCAGGCAGGAGACGGGCATGTGAACGTTTGTGTGTGTGTGTGTGTGTGTGTGTGCGTGTGTGTGTGTTTGTCTGTAAGTGTGTGTAGTCACAAAGAATAGCACAGGAGGACTGGAGGCTGACCCTCCATCGTTGTGAGTAGTGTTGCAAGACTTGAATAACCCTCAGATCCCTAAGAGGTTTACTGCCAGCGCTCTCTCTATCAGCTGAGTCCACTCAACAATGCATGTAACCCTGCAATTACAGTCACGCATTAACAAGAGGACGGCAGCACACAATGGCATTAGCTTCTTTTGGCCTCAATCCAATCTCTCCTCATATAGGTGAAAGGTTATCTTTGTAAACCCAGAGAGAAGCGGGGGGTTAAATGCCATTTTGTAAGCACTGACACTGCTGGGGTTTTTTTCCCCCTAAGAACAAAAGCTTAAATAATTCTAACTAACAAGTGTTTCAGAACAGTTAATGGTGGACAAATTGTATAATAGATTTGGATTCATGAAGCAATCAGCAATTCCAAAGTATTTCCGGTAATCCTTAATGGTTTAAAGATTTCCACACCCTGAATGCAGTGAGGTATTTTTAACTTTGGACAAAGAGTTTAGTTTCAGAATTAAGTAGCCAGTATTGGCAAATGTGTCTGTAAGAAAATGACTAGGATTAGACACAGTACTGTTTGACTGTTTTGCACACTGGCTTCATTAATTCAGAGAACTGAACTTAATATGAGCTACGGTTGTTCCCAGTTTGTGTTTGGCAGCCTTTTTTGGAATAAAATTCCTAATATATCCTCTTCCCCTGAAAAATCGTCATACCTACACAGAGGGCACCCTTTGCAGTTTCTATGAGAATCACTCTTTCACATCTCTATAGCCTGTTTCACACTGCCTCTTCAAGGCAGAATTTCATACCATCATGCAGTCTCGCTGTTCTTTATGAAAGGTAATAGAAAATAGAGGGACAGAGTTGTCTTGCCTTTAAGCTGGCATCGGATGTAGTAACAGTGCCGAAACATTGTCTGTATAAGCGGGACAGTCGGTAGGACGAGATCATCGGTGGCACAGGTGTAACATTTTAAAAATGTCCTCAAATTGGGAAAACAATGACGTCTGGCGTGCCTTTGGCGTCGGTTTTGCACACCAATGGGTGTGGCAAAGCAATTCACTCTGAAATTGGCAAAATCTGATGCTAGGGCAGTGACCTCTGGCGTCAGACACCAACGAAAACAGCTGTTCTTGAACTTCAGCATGATATGCGGCCAGTTGAAGTTATAGTATACTGGTAACCGGCGGCGTCAGGGGGAAACGTGGCGAGACAAGAACCAAAGTTAAGGTGGTGAAAAGTCCGAGTGGGGTTGGTGCGAGGTGCGGTGGATGGGTCCAGCAAACTGGGAGAGAGGTGTTCGCAACCCGTAAGATTCTAAAGCCAAACCCTGTTCTTTCTTCCTAAACCTAACCATGTGTTTTTGTTGCCGAAGTCCAACCATGTGCGTTTGTTGTTGAAGGAAATAAAACGTCTGTTTGCAGTGTTGTGCTGACATAGTGCATTTATTTTGAAAGAAACAGCATGTAAACTATACATTTCCTGTAAAAACAGTGCATATAACAGGCAGAACTTGACACAGTGTCAAAGAACGTCAACAACCAACACACCCAGGGTATTGCATGTCATATCTGGACATGGAAAGTCCAAGACCAAATGTCAATATGTGACAAGGTTGGAGAACGTGTTGGACAAAGTGTCGGTATTTGATGACCTACAAATAAAAATGGGCTCAGAAAACTTTAATTGATGGATCTTTGACTCTGTCACTATGGACGGATAGAATAGAATATTATATGGTAATAATATTAAAACAAAATATCATAAAGGTATTGTGTTTATTGTCATGTGGGTAAATTTTCTAAAAGAAATGGACATTTGTTATGTTGCATTATTCTGGGGATTACAAAATTGAATCTAATTTTGGATAGTCATGTATCCTTCACTTTATATAAGTAAATGACTGTATAATCTATAACTACTCATATAAAATTATTTCTAATTGAGTCACTGGTATGGTGGCAGCATTCAAACAATAACTCATGGCAGAAAGTCAGCAGCGTTTTAATTTTTTGGCGCTGTGGGGGATAATAGGAAACAAAACAACCAGAAGAGATTGGCCCTTACAAAATAAAAAATGCTAATCTTGGGTGCCCCAGTTCTCCCTGCCACTTTGTGTAACATTGTCACATGCAAAGACTTAGGGCACATTCTTTAGCAAGCAGGAGTGTTAAGTGGATAACCTGGGGGGTTCACCAGTCCAGTGAGAAATGATGAATGGGAGGCTATTTAAGTTTTATCACAGACCTCTGGAGAAAGACTCTGAACCTGCAGCCCCAAAGCTACTTATGAAGGTTAGGCAATTCAGATACTGCACAGGAGGGTTATACACCTTTTTCTGGACTCTCTTGGTTTCTACATACACTCATTTGAGACTGAAGTCTGTGCTTTCTCTCACAATGACTTCCATCACCATGTTCTCCCTCTTGTTCTTTCTCACTCTTTACCCTTGCAATACCATGACAGGACAAACGAGAAGAGGTACGTATGGGATTCTGATCTTACCTGCACTTGTCTTTCCCACCACTTCGAAATCTTCCAGTGCTCATTTCCTCCCCTGTAGGAACACACAAACACATGTACGCCTGAGCAAAGTGTAAACAACGAGGAAACACACATGCCAAGATAAAATACTTGCTTCTATGGCAGCCAGTTTAGCATGAGCACAGACCAGGGCCCAATAAAACAGACCTGACAGAGATGCCTGAAAGTCATTTCTGAAATGGCTTTGTAATCATGTCAAATCACGGTTAGCTTCATCCACATTAAAGTGGCAGTGCCCCATAGGTCACATGTAAAAACAGAAACGCTTTACCTAGGAGCCATTTTGTAAAACTTGATCAAAGGATTCTGATGCATCAAAAAGAGTGGATTTTTATACCGTTAAGATGAATATCTGTCAGTGGGATTATTTGATTAATTTAATATTCATTCAGGTATGCTGTGTACAAAACAAGCTCATGGTTGACTAATCTATAAAAACAGATATCAATATGTGTGTAAAATCAGTAGGCAACGTTCAAGAATTTGGTAATTGAAGCGTTCTTTTTTCTGTTTGTTGTCCAAGTAGTAATGATCAATCACATTTGAGCTGCAAATTAACAGTCTGTGTGAAAAGACGAAATGCAGTGTCTGAACCCATCAGCTATTGTCTAATGACAATTTAGCTTTTTATTGGCCTTTTAATATTGATCTGCCTTCATTTGTCTGTTTATAGATTTTAGTTAAAATGACCATCGCAAGGCATACAAAGTCTTGGCCCAGATGTCCACTGGCTACCCTGGAACCCCTGAAATATTGGCCAGTGGGTTCCCACAATTAATTCATGAGCCTAGCATTAAAATCCAAAGCAGAAAAGCAATATTTTGAGACCCTTAGGCCTTTAAAGTTTTACAATTACTGACGAATTATCAGGAAACTGCAGTATTTATTATTGTGACGAGTCTGTAATGCCGTTGTTTTTGTCATTTGTGTGAGGACATCATGTTTTACATAAAGCTGCATTAGCGTTAATATATTTTTTGTCCACTTGGGGGCAGCACAACAAGCTGAAAACACTGACATGACATGAAATCACCTTTCGGCTAACATGTTAGCAAACTAGTTGGCTAATTGCACATGCAGCAGATACTGGTACATTAGCATTCATTTGGAGTTTCTGGTCACCTAACAAATGTCCAATATTTAATCACTTTTTAGCTTGAGGGAAATATGTTTAGCTCCTGAATGCTCTGTTATGTCCACTAGCCGTTTGCTTTTGTTTGGTGCTGGGCAGGTAGTGTAGAGATGGGATTTGGAACTTGTTTGCTGATGAAAATGAGGTTAATGAGAGCAGTGAGAAGGAACCAAAACAATAAAGATGTGAGCTATGAAACCAAACTGATGATATGAAACTTGCTAAAACGCTTCGAGGAACTGAGAGCAACTACAAGATGTCTCAGGGTTCATAATTATGATTCCTATCACTCCTTTCATATTACCGTACATATAGTAATTTCATACAATGTTAATATAAAAGTATGAATTAGTGTGTAGCTTTAAAGGGATGGTTTCCCCCACAATCAACAATACATATTTTTCCTCTTAGCTGTAGTGCTATTTATCAGTCTAGATTGTTTTGGTGTGAGTTGTCAAGTGTTGGAGATATCAGCCGTAGCGATGCCTGCCTTCTCTCGAATACAATGGAACTAGGTGGCACTCAGCTTGTGGTGCTCAAAGCGCCAAATAAATGGGTCCATGTCATTGGTTCGACAGCCCATTGGTTTGACATCCCATTAGTCCGACTGTCCGCGGTGCTGAACGGCTCGCAGCAGGCGTATGGTGCGCCGCGACCGGCTTGAGGTGGAGCAGGCTCACGGCTTATGTGTTTGTCACTTTCTTTTTCATTTTAACCCACACCATGATTTTTTCCTGACCCTAACCAAGTGGTTTTTGTGCCTAAACCTAACCAGACCTTAACCACAAGGCATCATGATGATTTCGGAACGGACTTCGGAACAATGAGTTTAATATGGTCGGAACAATGGGCTGTCGAACCAATGGGCAGTTCCCAATTATAAATTACATTTAAAAAGCTCAAAGGCAATGTCTCTTTCCAGATATCATGATCTGGTTACTCAAGATAATCCACAGACCTTGTTGTGAGCAGTTTCATGTAGGAACTATTTTCTCTCTACCAAACTACACCCGCCAATTGCATTGCCACGCAGAAGGAAGCGTGCATCTACAGCTAGCTCATGTAGCACCACTGAGTTAGGGGATGTTACAGATCAGCCAAGGAGGACACCATTAATGTTTACATCACACGAGCCTGTCGTCCATGAGTAGATGTGCATTAATGCTAAATTGTCTTAATACTGATATTCTTAACCCGAGAATGAATGATTTACAGAGACACGTGATTGACGTT